ATGGCATCAACACATATAGCATGTCTGTGACATCATAAGCAAGACATTTTAAAAGGTTGAGACAGGCAGCGCTGATCAATAAAGCCATCAGCTCAGGAGTCCATGGGAAGTTATTTATACATTATTTAATGAGTTCACAGTGCTGTGCATTTATGAGCAGCATGCTTTATGGGATAGAGACCTATGTTTACTATCATGTACTTAGTGGTACGCTCCATTTCACCGTCTATTAGTAGTCATGAATCCTATAGCACAAAACAGCACCAGCAATTCCTTACATTAATTAATTAAGGAAGATGCAGAATCCTAAAATCACAAAGTGTACAGATAAAACGGAGGGGAATATAGTGCTGTTTCCACACAGAGCATCACTATATTCAGCACTGTAGAAAGACCAATTCTGATTCTTGGCTTTATTCCCACTGAAATACTGCAGTAAGATCTGAGTCAGGTTGCTCAAGCTTGAAATCCAAAAATACATAAGAACTAAGACAAATATTGCAGATTATCAGCTCAAATCTGGGTAAAACATTGACAAACCCAAATTCTGGGTTAAAATGTTTACCCAAATTTGGTTAAAACAATAATTTACATAGAAATCAACAAACTGATCTTTCAAAATCCTATTATAAAAAACTTTTAAAATGTTTCTCTTACATTCCATGAACCATTTAGCCATCCTGTTTATCTACCCATTTGCTAAACAATGGAGTGTGAAAAGTTCTTAAAGGGATAGTACACCCCGAAAAAATGAGCATTTACTCGCTCTGAAGTGGTTCCAAAACCTTATGAGTTTCTTTTTTTCTGTTGAATACCAAATAATATATTTGGTAGGATTTTAAAAACCAGTAACAATTGACTTCCATAGTAAAAACCAAATACTTTGGAAGTCAATGGTTACTGGTTTCCAACATTTTTCAAAATAACTTCTGTGTTCAACAGAAGCAAGGCATCATTACAAGTGTGTCCCGCATATATCAAGTTATTTCCAGTGCTTGACCCACCAACCCAATGTAGGTGTATTTCAGCAGATACATCGGCATATAACACAGTCACTGCATTAGCTAATTTAGCCGGTTGTATTTTATTTAACCTGATTTGAAACAAACACTTGTGAATGAACTTTATTTGCATGGCTGGATCATCAACCTAAACTTTAAATTACAGAATTAGATTTAATTCTGAAATCCGTTTGATCTGTCGGTGTGTGAGAGAGTCTCATTGATAAAGCCATACAAATAAGCATTGCACACACAGACCCACAAGTGAAACATACCTCTAAAGCAACATGTTACAACCAGAGTGCTCTTCTGAAATCAACACAACAGTGTGCTGTCACTGAATGACTGAATGATACTTTGAATGAATTGGGTGATTCGCTCATTGATTGATTCAGAGAATCCCATTCATGCACATGCATTTGCCTGATCCTTGAATTAGTAAGCCATCTAAATGAATTAGTTTAGTGAATGAATTACACATTAAGACAGCCAATTGCCGCCATCTATTTTACTTTCAAATAAATAGGCAAAAAATGCCCTGAAGAACAATACAAGTAAATAATCATGATCAATAGCAAGCTTTAATCGTATAAAATAGAATTCACTAAGAACAAAATTATGGTCCATGAATAGGTCTGTCGCAATAATCAATACATCCACTTATCGCTCAATATGTGACAATAACAACCATTTTTTGCTGTTGCAATATATATATTGTATATATACAACAGTATATATACAACAATAACAGCCCTTGTACAGCCTCTTCACCCACGTTTATTACTCTACCCACATGACAAAATGACAAGCAGAGAAATATAGCTCACTACAGTTTGACAAATATTGTAGCTGCTGGACAACATAATGTACTTTTGAGGCTCTTTTTAGGTGACAATGTAGTCATTTAGATTGCTATTGCAGTGTATTTATTAGGATTGTGCCTATTTTAATTATTTATAATTTCGGAGATACAGTGTGGCAGTGGCCATCAGCATGTCATAATGAGGAGAGCAGTGACAGAGACTGCATGATAAGTCCTCAGGGGAGAAAAACTCTGCATTTTGTTTTCGTATTTTAAACAGCTGATCAAATAAAACAGGCAAGTGACTTTCTAAGTCAAGCTCTCTCTTTTAAATGCTGTAGTGCTGTATTTAGTAAGCTGCTAGTGTTTGCTTTGTTATCACTTTTTTGGGGTTAATTATTGTGATCTGATTGCAATAGAGACACTGACATCAGCTGCAGCTGTGAATATATATATATATATATATATATATATATATATATATATATATATATATATATATATATATATACATACATACATACATACATACATACATACATACATACATACATACATACATACATACATACATACATGCATACATACATACATATATATATATAGCCTATCATGTTTACATAATGCTGTTTTGCTGTTACTCAGTCATTTTACTCAGTCATTTACATTCTACATAAATGGTGGCAAAGTTTTATTTGTTTCCTCTTAAAATTTCCTCAAATTACAGAATCTAAAAAAAGTTAACATTTTGTGCCTTGAAAGTATTTATGCTTATTTGCTTTATTATGCTGCTGTATAATTATTATATAATCAGAAAATGGTCTTAAAATGACAATAATATCACTTATTGCAAAAATGTCTGTACAACACAAAAATGATTTATGATGATTGGCCAACCAGTGAGTTTCTAGTAACTTTGAAAAAGCAACCAACAAGCCAGTGAGCAAAAACTTTAGTCTTAAGTCCTGTATAAAAGGAATCAATTATACTGGCATTGTAAGAGTATAGTCGTTAGAACAACATTATTTCACATTATATCTTCTAAAGAACCATGTACCTGACTCCAATTTGGAACAACTGCTATTTGGAATTTAGAACAACTACATTGTTGCAAACTACACAAAACTAGCTATGCTGTTCCAAACTAAATTTGGACCAAATATATTGGTCCAACACTCTAACAAATATATTAATATACAAATATATCTAATATATTGTTCCAACACTCTAACAAACTGCATTTGGAGCAACTACACTGTTTTAAACTACATTTGGAACAACTACATTGTTCCAAACTACATTGTTCCAAACTACATTGTTCCAAAGTATATTGTTCTAAACTACACTGTTCCAAACTACATTATTCCAAACTACATTATTCCAAACTTCACTGTTCCAAATTACATTGTTTTAAACTACTCTTCCAAACTACATTTGGAACAACTTTAAATAATGTAATGTACTAAATGTAATAAAATACTAATGCAATACATAATGATGCCAACTGTATGAATAGAACACACAAGCATCACATCTATGCAGCCAAGATGCATTTGAATCTAATATTAAGTCCATCCTGTTCTTTGATCTCACAAAACTTGCCACATACTTCATCAGGCTCAGAATCACTTTAACTAAAGCTTCCTTGTTAGTCAGCTGATCTGCTGTCTGTTATTGATTTAGACTGAAATTTCCAACACAACCGATTGCATTTCCATTTCAGGCCTGGACAATTGATCACAGTGCTTACAGAGGGAGGGTCTTTGAGCTTCCCAGCAGCACTCCGTTTAAGCAAAATGTGCACTGCTGCAGCCAAATGAAGCACGATGCTAAGGTGAAGTCAGGTTATGAAGATCTTGACATGGCACAGCCCTGGATCTTATTGTCCAAAGCATAAACTTTAAGACTCTGCTTTTAATGATCTTAATTAAACACAAAAGAAAACTTTCATTCAGGTTGTTAGGGATATATGGCTGTAATTATAACAATTTAATACTGTAAAACGCTACAGTCCTTTTAGTGTTTTCTCATCAGTTATGCCCATTAGAGTTTGATGTCATATCTAATTTGATAAATAACATTTATAGCATTACTTTAGACTCATTTGTTTTACCATGATATTAGCTATATATGCTGAAGATTAATTATAGATTGCCACCTTTGATGGTAAAAAAACATATATCCATCCTGACATTTTCCATTAATAAACTGTCTCCATTGCAATCAAAGGTAAAAGTGCAAGCTTTTTTTGTGTTTTGTGTTAATTTAAGAACTCCCAAAGACACCCAGCAGATTTCCATTGTGTAATGGCTCAGTGTTTTACATAAGAAGCAGTCTTAACCTCTGACAGATGAGGTGAGATAATCCAATCTATCAAATGGATTTAAGTAAAACTCTGAAGGGCTCAGATTAAATAAATCAGCTACATTAGCACAATGAGCTCCGACCGCAAATACATTCACATTATTATTATTATTCAGGAAATTTCTTGTAGGATGAATGGGCATTGCTCCACACGGCTAAAAGTGGCAGGGAAGCATACAAAAATGGGGAGAAAAAAAAAAGGAAAGGGTGGGAGATCCGAGAGTGAGTGGAAGCCTGGCAGTCCTCCAGCCGTTATAATTCTTCAAGCTCTCAAAGTCATGGTGGAGAGCAGATAGTATTACTGATGATCATCTTTCTCTGGAAGGGCATCGGCTAGTCTTTGTGGAGACACTGACCTTGAAATGGAGCAGAGCCAACAGGAAGTGTCCTCCTTTTACTGCAGCACTGCTGCATTATCACACACTATCAGTGCTGCATGTGCCATGACCACGGTCTGATGCAACTCACGTGGGCAGGTAACCGGTAATAGTGTTTAGATCTGACACAGTAATCATCAAGCGGCTTCAAAGGGGTGTCTGCGTCACTTCTGACGCCCACCTAAACTTAAACTTTTAGGGCTTAGTCACAAAAGTGTGCAGCAAAACCGACAAGATACAACACGTGTGGTATGAAGTGACATACCATACAATGACGCTCAAATCCGGCTCTCAGATCACTCACAAATAAGGTTCTTTGATCTACCATGAATGCACAATCAGTACTGACAGTGGTAAATACAACAATTTTAGGATTCAGTGCAGATGCTATGATGTGACAATATCTACAACTAAAACTACAATCATGACCCAAAAGTGAACTAGGATTGTACTTACAGGTCTTTGGAATAATTTCATTAGATTCCAGAGTTGGTAACTGGTTAGCAGTGTCATTCTGGACAGGTCTAAAGGTGCTCTTGGGGCTGGGTGGAGACACAGAGTTTGGGTGAACTGTCACTGCTGCAGTGGGTGTGAAACCAGCCACTTTAGACGGAGGCACCTCAAAAGGTCCAGCTGTGGTGTCCCCCTCCACAAAGACCTTGGGCTGTCCTGGGACAGATAGAGTGACTGAGGAAGGTGAAACTGATACAGGATTCTGAGTGAAGTCTGAATTTATTATAGGATCCTGTCCTATACGCTTTAAATCGAGATGGGTCGGTGGCTCGTATTCAAAGATTTTGTCCACAAAGACCCACTTGAGGCCAGCGGTGCAGAGGGCCAGACTCAGCAAACAGGCCAAGATGGGCAGGATGCAGATTTTTTCAGAGCGGACGCAGTTATTTACCCGCTCCAGCTCGAGGCACACACAGCAGCATGCGACTGCAGGCAAAGGCACGCATCCCAGAGGACCCCGCTCGGAGCTGTCACCGTCCCCCGGCACGTTCTCTCCTGCTTCCTCGGGCGTTTCTTTGGTGGCGACCTCAGACAAGGCATCAGAAGGAGTCTCTTGAGATGCGAGTCCGGCTGAGATGTCCTCCGCCGCCTCCGACTTCATCTCCTCTGGTTCTCTCTCTCGTCAGCAGCTGTGCAGACCTCGCTCTAGTGCTGCAGCAGCGCCGGCCGACACGCTGCCTCATAAAGTCTTCTTTCCATTATCAGATCAGCAGCGAGGGGGAAGGGGCTCGGACACGACACTCCACTCACTAACCTCGTTACTAAAGAGGAAGAAGAAGAAGACTTCCGTGCCTCTAATTTCTGTCGCCCAGGTCTCTCCAAAGAAGCAGGAAGAAAAACACAGGCAGCAGGTCTATAAATAAGGCATATGCTCCGGATGCTTAAGGCCGGCTGAGGGTGGATCCCGCCTCAGAGAGTCCCGGAGAGAGTGCAGCACTCACCTGGGGGCAGGGTTGGAGGAGGGGGCTGCCGCGCCTGGGCTGCGGTTCATGCTCTCTCAAAAACGGCTGAATCACCCGAAAGCAGCAGGTGTGGGTCCGATCGAGGCACGGGATCCTCGTTAAAGACTTGCACGCAGAACAACACGGAAGGACGAGTAGACAGAAGTGAAGAGACACACACACACACACCCCTTCTTTCACCCCTCCTCTTTCTCCCTCTCCTGATCCATCACACCAACACATACGTTCTGTCTCTCGCTCTGTCTGGTGCCTCTCTCCTCTCACACTATGAACACAAAGCAGTGAGTCGGGCAAGTCTGCGCTTGATCCAATTAGAAAGATCGCCAGCGAATGAGACAGTCTCTCTCTCTTTCTCTCTCTCTCATTCACTCATCCTCCTCCTGTCATTGATTCTGGAAGAGGATAGAGTTGTATCACATACACGGATGGGACGTTTCTCAGGGGAATATGCTGATAATGTTTCTGTTAGTGGTCAAGTGATATGTTTTTTATTCAATGGATAGAAACGGATACTGATTTCTAGAAAGTGCTGACATACAGTCAGAATTATTAGCCCCCCGGAATTATCAGCCCCTCGTTTGTTTTTCCCCCAATATCTGTTTAACGGAGAGAAGATTTTCTCAACACATTTCTAAACATAATAGTTTTAATCATTTCTAATAACTGATTTATTTTATATTTGCCATGAAACACTTCTATGCAGCTTAAAGTGACATTCAAAGGTCTAACTAGGTTAATTAGGGTAACTAGGCAGGTTAGGGTAATTAGGCAAGTTATTGTATAACGATGGTTTGATCTGTAGACTACCAAAAAATACATAGCTGAAAGAGGCTAATAGTTTTGACCTTAAAATGTTTTTTAAAAATTAAAAACTGCTTTTATTCTAGCCGAAACAAAACAAATAAGACTTTCTCCAGAAGAAAAAATATTATCAGACATACTGTGAACATTTCCTTGCTCTGTTAAACATCACTTGGAAAATATTCAAAAAAGAAAAAGTCATTACTTCAATTGTATATGCAGTGTAGTTAATGCAGAATATGTCCAGAATACTTTCTTTTTCAAGATTTTGAGTTTAAAAATCTACACAAATGTGTGTATTGATATTTTAGGTGCTTTTCTTGATAACTTTTGATGCTTTTTGTTCAGAAAACGCAAAGTTGAACCCAAAAACTATTTTTTTTCACTCATCGAAAATCAATAAAAATTATAAACAAAATATTGAAATGCGAACTGCTGTTTAAAATAGTCTTAAATGAAGCATTTCTTCATAGGACAAACTTTCACACATATGCACACACATGCATCCATAATTGGGAGACGTTAGAAATATTCCATTCATACATTCATTTTCCTTCGGCTTAGTCCCCTTATTCATCAGGTGTCCTGAATCGCTAACTTATCCAGCACGTTTTACGCCGTGGGTCTGGGGGTGTTACAGATTGTACCAAACACCTGAGGACCGCAATAAGGGGTTAAATTCTGGGAGGTTTCTGGGAGAAATTACAAAACTCTGTGGCTCTGAAATATGGGAGACTCCCAGGGGAAAACGGGAGTGTTGGTGGGTATGCCCAGTATTGGGAAACACCCTTACACAATCATATACTGAAGCCAATTTAGTTTATTCAATTCACCTATAGCGCATCTCTTTGGACTTGCGGGGAAAACCGGAGCACCCTGAGGAAACCCATGCCAACACGGGGAGAACTTGCAAACTCCACACAGAAATGCCAACTGACCCAGCCAGGACTCAAACCAGCAAACTTCTTGCTGTGAAATCTTGCCGTGTCGCAGAAATATTATAATTGTCTTTTTTTTTTTTTTTTTTTACAAATGTTTTCTTTATTTAATAACACTACTATGGTGCTAAAAACAACAGAGAATAAAACATGAATGGAATTTTTTTATAAGCCCCCTCACAGCATCATTCAATCAAACAGCTTTTTTTAAACCACAGAGCTGTTTTTTTTAAAAGCTAAATTGATTTGTTTGAGTAATGTTGGTATATATTCAGTCTGCCCTTTACTGTTCTATAATCACATTTGCCTCTACATGCTGAAGGAACGCTGACTCAGGGGCCGAGAGATCGCGGGCGGTCCAGAACCCCCATTCGTGACCAATAAATACTGAATGAGGAACAGACTCCACAGGGAAAACTGCAGCCACACCGGAAATCAGTGAGTTTACTGTAATGAGACGTTATTCCTACACATCAGTTGTGCTAAGAATAAGAACAAGGCTTTTCTAATGAACCCTTTCGTCACTGTTTTGTAGTGCATTACTAGTGTCTTATTGCTATTAGTGCAATTTGCTTCAGTGATCTCAAAATGAAGCTAATTCCACAGATGCCAGTGTGATTCATCTTGGTTATTATTTAATATGGAAGTGATTATATAACAAATGGCTGAATAATTTAAAATGCTGAATGTTACAAAAATAACACTGGTTATAATAATTTTCATTATGCCTGTATTTATTATTAAGATTCTTTTATTTATTTTTTGTGAAGCATTTTAAAATCTTTATAACAATAACCCGAATACTTTAATGCACCCAGATTTTCCCCATTCATTTCTATGGCGGTTATAATCACAATTTGCTCACTATAACACAATAATTTATAGAATTTCTCAGAAATCTTAAGAATTTCTATTATAAAACGAAACATTTTCGGACATGTATATTGATAACACAAGTTAGGAATGAAACAATTGGTGGAATTAACAAAATTTTAAATCACTATGAATTCATTCTTCATTCATTCATGTTCCTTTGGCTTTGTCCCTTATATATCAAGGGTCACCACAGCGGAATGAACCGCCAACTATTCCAGCTTTTTTTATGCAGCGGATACACTATGGCCAATTTAGTTCATGCAATTCACCAATAGTGAGTGTCTTTGGATTGCTCCCAGCTGCGACTAGAACCAGCAACCTTCTTGCTGTGAGGTGACAGCGCTAACCAATAAGCCACCAACATTTTTAAATATTTCGACCAATTAATATTTAATAAATAAATCAGTGAATGAATGAGCGATTGAAGGAATGAATTAAAGAGAGAACAAATGAACAAATGAATGAATGATTGAACAAATGAGTAGAAATGGACAAACGAACAAACAAACAAACGAATGAATGAACAAACAGAAACAAACAAACCGATAAACAATCAAAGGAATAAATGAGCAAAAGCACAAATAAACGAACAAACAAACAAATGAACGAATGAACAATCAACAAAAATGTAACAAATAAACAAACTAAACTACTTTCATTTGTAATTACACAAAACAAACACAAATTAAACAAACACACACACACGCATGCACGCGCGCACACACACAAACAAACAAACACACACACACACACACACACACACACACACACACACACACACACACACACACACACACACACACACACACACACACACACACACACACACACACACACACACATATATATAGTTGAAGTCAGAATTATTAGCCCCTCCTGAATTATTAGACCGCTTGTTATTTTTCCCCAATTTCTGTTCAACAGAGAGCAGATTTTTTCAACACATTTCTAAACATAATTCTAAATTTCTAAAATAATTTTGTCCCTAAAGTGGTGTTTAAAAAATTAAAAACTGCTTTTATTCTAGCTGAAATAAAACAAATAAGACTTTTCCTAGAAGAAAAAATATTACCAGACAAACTGTGAAAATGTCCTTGCTCTGTCAAACATTATTTAGAAAATATTTTAAAAAGAAGAAAAAAAAATGAAGGGGGGAATTAACAAACGAACAAACAAACGAATAAACGAACGAACAAATGAACAAACGAATGAACAAAGTAAAACAAACAAAATGATAAACAAACAAGCAAGGGGATGAATGAACGAATGAACAAACAAACAAACAAATGAATGAAAAAACAAACAAAGAAACGAACAAACGAACGAACAAATGAGCAAACGGATGATCAAATGAACAAAGTAAAACAAAATGATAAACAAACAAGCAAGGGGATGAATGAACAAATGAACAAACAAACAAACAAATAAATGAAAGAAAGAACAAACAAAGAAACGAACAAACAAAAAATTAACAAACAAACAAACTGAACTACTTTCAATAGAAATTACACAAAACTAACACAAATTCACCTGTTGGAACAGAAGAGTCTCCAAATCTATTACGTTAACCCAGACAGTGGCCATCTGTTGACCAGATTAGTCAGATTCCGACTCATCCTTGACATCAGCACAGTCTGACTAAGTTTTGAAATGATCTTTAAATGATGACATTCGCACTCTTTTATCCACATAAGCATGTGCATTGCCTTCCACCATTATTATCTCAGTCCTCCAATACTGACATGGACTGATGAGTTGTTCCCATTATCAGATGAGCTGGAATTAGTGACCACACAGCACGCGGCATTAAGCAGAAGCCCCTGCAGGGGTAAATGAAGCAGATACTGAGGGCTTTAAGTCCCCCCAGGCCTGTTAAGCTGTCCCGGGTCTCATTGCCATTAGGCCGGGAATCAAATGGACACGAGGGTGTGTGAATGCAGAGGGTTCAAAAGGTCAGGTCAACAGCCATGACCCCTCAACTCTCACAGAACAGAGGAAATGGACTCTCATTAGTTATCTTTTCATCCGATTTTTAAGCACATTTGTAATACTGCTGCCTAAAAATACTTAATGGAAATGGCATACGTTTTGAAAAACTAATGCGCACAACTGATTAGGATAAACATTTTATCCTATAAGAAAAAAATCTGGATAAACTATGACGTAAAAACAGAATAAATTCCAATTCCAAATTTATTTAAACTGATACAAAAATGGGTGCAATAGAACGACATTAGGGCGTAACGGTGGCGCAGTGGGTAGCATGATCGTCTCACAGCAAGAAGGTTGCTAGTTTGAGCTTCACCTGGGTCAGTTGCCATTTCTGTGTAGAGTTTGCATGTTCTTTGTTTTACATGTTGTGCATTCAGAGATGCTCTTCTGCATACCTCGGTTGTAACGAGTGGTTATTTGAGTTACTATTGCCTTTCTATCAGCTGAAAACCCTAGAGATGGTTGTGCGTGAAAATCCCAGTAGATCAGCAGTTTCTGAAATACTCAGACAAGCCCGTCTGGCACCAACAATCATGTTCAAAGTCACTTAAATCACGTTTCTTTCCCATTCTGATGCTTTGTTTAAACTGCAGCAGATTACCATGACCATGTACCTAAATTCATTGAATTGCTGCCATGTTATTAGCTGATTAGAAATTTGTGTTAACGAGCAGAAGGACAGGTGTACCTAATAAAGTGGCCAGTGAGTGTACAGTATATATAAAAAAAGAAAAGAGAAATGAGGATCAGTATAAAATCCTTCATACAGGAAGTGGAATGACTTATTTACAGCTTAAAATGGGCAATAGGGGACGTGGCCTGGAATAATCTCCGAACAGTAAGGGAAACAGCATTGGTTTGGCAGGTGACGGGTTACTGCTGCATTAGGAGATGAGACGCTTTTCATGCCAAACACGTCAAGGCAAGAGTTTTATTAACAAATACGAAACAAGGTCTCGGGCACCAATTCAATAACGTTC